TCCTCCTCCTGCTGGGGGAGCGAGCGAGGGGCCTTGGGCTAGGGTGCCCTCGGGCGAATGCACCTGAATGACCGGAGCGCCTAGAAAGCGAGCCTTGGATGACCAGGCGCACTTTACAAGCAGTGTGGACAGGCTGGCTCTGCTCAAGTGGGTTTGCATTGTTCTCAGTTTTAAACTCCGAAGCCGCCTAGGTGCAAGGCCCACTCACCACGCACTGTGATCAGATGTTAGCGCTCGTTTGCAGAGGAGGCCTGCAGGTTGCAGCATTCTGAAAATCCATCTTCTCAGGTGTTTGTGTACCTTCCTCGTTCCTGACAACGGAACATCGAAGTAGAGCGTCTTGCTTGGACCTGAAATAAAATAAAGTTAAAATCCTCTAGCAAAAGTTTAGGCTTCTTAGGTAAATATTTTTTTAAAATCCCTGTTGAGGGCTGTTATCTTCCAGCATGATTATAGCTCAAAAGAGCTTCCCTGTGCTTCCTGAAGTCTCGGGGGCAATTTGTTTTTCTCTGTAACTTGGAAGCTTCGAATTTGTGCAACAGAAAAGGCTGGAAATGCCTTCGGCTTGGGTCAGATGAGGCCCACCTCCACCCCGTGGGGCCTGGGTCCCAGCTGCCAGGCCTGTCCCTTCCTCTGGTGTCTAGAGAGGCTGGGAGGGTGCCCAAGGTCTGAACATAGAGCAGATGTCTTTGCATCTAGAGAAAATTTCTAAAAATAGAAGTCCAGTAGGTTACTGGATTCATTTAAATCCTGCAGCACCCACCCTCCCACCTCTCGGCCAAAACCTCAGCAGTGAGCCCCCCCACCCCCTCGCCATGCCCCCGTTTGGGCTGGTTGTTTGCAGCTGGGGCCGACAGACCTCTGAAGCCCACGCTGGGAGGGGGTGGACTCCTGGGCTGAGGCCCTTCAGGTCGGGTCAGCAGTGGGTAACCCTCTAAAGGGGGACACCAGGTGTAAAGGGCCGGCTGAAGAGGCGGTGCTTCCCTGGAGAAAAGGCGCCAGGTGCGATCTGCGGGGGGAGGGGGCACCTTGGGTGGGAGCGGTGGGTCTGCAGGGGGCCCACTCTTTACAGACCCTTTAAATGGCCGAGGGCGGGAGGGTCATGGGGGAGGTCAGCAGATCAAAGGCTGGCGCTAATGAAGTGATACCTTTGACTCTTGGCTCTGCTGGGGGGTGGGGACACCTGCGCAGACCCGCCCCTCTGCGCTCCCCTTCCGGTGACCCGGCCCTTCCCGCGCTTCCCGGCTGCGCTCCCACCGTCCAGCACTAGCCCTCTTGCTCCCTGGGCGGGCAGGCCCGCGTTCCCTCAATTAGCATCTCGGCTAGTAACCCGCTTGGGCTCGAGTCCCACCGCCGCCCACGCCTAGGTCCTGATCTCAGGCAGGTGACATAGCATCCCCACGCCTATTTACTGAACGACCCCCAAAAAAGTTAAATTGAAGTTTAACTGATTTAAACCCCGGGGAGGGCACGGTTTCCGCAGGACAGGCTAAGTAATCTGCCCCGTGGGGGTGTCAGTTCTGGGAACCTCCAGCTGGTGGGGCGGGGTGCAAAGGGACACCAGGAAAGGCTGCTTCCACTCTGTGCCGCAACGTCGGTGGCCTCCCAACTCGCCTCAGGGGTAATCACTCTGTTGCACCTGGCCCACTTCACAGGGAAAAAGCAATATATAGGTGTGAAAGGATGATGCCAGCCTCCCATCCTCTGAAAATTTGGGTTTATAGGTTTTTTCCTATACATTTGTTTATTTATTTATTTATTTATTTATTTATTTATTTATTTATACTTTGGTATCATTAATCTACAATTTACATTTGTTTTTATATACATATAATTTCAGAATACACATGGATTACAACCGGTTTTCTTTCGCGATTGTATAAATCACCAGTACTCCTTTCTCAGCAGTGGGAGAGGGGTGACTGCAGGCAGTAAGTGGTGTCTTAAAGGAAGACGATGGAAAGAGAAAGGGGTGCTATACCAGGCTGTGAAGCTGCCAGGAAGACAGCAGCTTGACGGCGCTTCGGTGGGGAACGGCGAGTTCGCCCTGTTGTCCCAGAGCTGGCTGCTGCTCCACACAGCTGGGGAGAGGGGTCATGGGGTTTGGGTCCTGCTCAGACCAGACTTTGCTCTCTTGCGCAGCCCTTCTCAAGACTGAAGCCCTGCCCGTCTCTGCCCGAAACCTTCTTGAAAGCCGGCTTGGATCAGTATAGATGCTGGGAACTGGACTAGCCTGGCATGCTCGCTTCAAACATCATAAACCACACAAAACCCCAAACTGAGAACTCCCCCTTTCTTTCCCTTTTTCCATACAACTCACAGAGAGCGTCCAATATGTGTTTACTTATTCTTAACACAAACTATCCCATCATGTTAAAGCCCTTCAGCACCGTAGAGTCCATTTGGTCTAACCTTGACTTTCTAGACAAAGAAACAGAAATCCATCACCATAAAGGAGCTTTGACATCCGGAGTCACAGTGCAGTTAGCGGGGTGGCCTGGCCCAGGCCCCATGGCAGGCAGGCTTAGTCCCCCTTGCTGGCCTCCTTGGCCCCCACAGGTGGTGTGGACCCGGTGAACATGCACCTGCCAGATCCCCCACCACCACTGTCCAGTCTGTGATTTCAGGAGGACATCCCTGCTGGCCCTAGGGGGAGGCCAAGCAGGAGCAGGCAGGGAAGGGAGGTTTGGGGAACCTGTTGACTGCCAAACAGAAAGGGGTGCAATGAATTCCTCCAGGAGTTCTAAACAACTGAACAATTCTGTTGAGGAGATGTGGCAGTTGTTGCGTCTGGACTGCACACCCAGTCACCACCTAAAAGAGCCCTGGTAGCGGTCATTTGGGGGAGCAGGGGAGCAGCAGCTCCCCAAGTTCAATCTTGGGGAGTTTACTTGGTGGTCACTCCCCTCCCTAGCCTCCTAAATCATTGCCTCAGGACCAGGGGACCTGTCCCTCAGGCTGTGGGGCTAACCCCTGTCAGACCCCGGGGCCCTCATTGCCCTCTCTTTCTTGGGGAGGCAGAGTGACAGCCAAGGTACCCATTGTTCCTCTTCCTGGACAGGTGGAGGGTTTCCTGCCAAGAATCTCCCTTATAAACCGTCGTCCGCCGCAGGGAACAGACAGGATGGGGGAACAGGGCTGGCGTCAGCAGGGGCACTGAGGGCAGCAGGTGGAAACTGAGGCCCTGTGGTCAGACCTGGCCCCAGTCCCAGCCCTGAGGTATCACAGTTCGCTGGGGATGTCAGTCCCAACCTCTCTGAGCTGGAACTCTATGAAATGAGTGTCATAGTGAAAATTAAGGAGCAATTCTAGAAAGCTCATGGCTCATACATAGTAGATGTTCAAGAAATGTTAGTGTTTCCCCCTCTCCACTTAGAGGCAGGACTGCATTTTTACGACCTGGAAGATGTTTTATTTAAAGATCAGAAAATGCCACATAAATGCTGTAATTTCTATTTATAAAGTAATGTTGGTTTTTGCAAAGGTATATAACATTTATTCCAGATGCTGTCACCAATCTCCTAGTCTTACAACTAGTACTGTGAGCAGAACTACCCTGATACAGTGAAAAAGAAACATAGCTCTCCCATCAGAACTACAGCAATCAACTCTCAGGGGAAAAGTCTTCTGAAGGAGTGACTTAGCCCCTCCAGGACTCCAAGCGAGAATTTGTGGAAAGCAAACTGCTGCTCCTGTACCTGCCCCCCAACACCTGAAACTACTTACCCTTAAGAAAGATCCCTGTTGTAGCAACCTGACAGGCTAATTTTAAAATTCACTAGGCCTGATTTCTCCTGCTTCCCCTGCCCCTCCCACCACTCCCCCTGTCCCAGCCTCACCCTCACCAGCATCTCCACCTGTGGGGGAGATAACCTGGGCTAGTGGCGCTTTTGAGAAGCCTGGTGTTGGTGGTCGCTTGACAACCCCACCTGTGTGTGTTGATTCCTTTGGCTTCAGAAAAGCCCTGAGAAGTGCTTGTACTGTAAATATTTGAAGTGTGTGCGTGGGAGGTGAAATCTGCATTCTCATTCCACTACCTTGCTCAGCCAAGCAAAGACCTTTCCACAGGTTGTCCCAGGCCACAGGAGGAGACTTGCCTGGGCTGGGGGCCAGCCAGGGCCAGAGTGCCCACCTGAAGGTGCTCCACAGGCTCTCCAGGTGGAGGTAGGTACCATCTCCTATGTGCCCGTGGGTCTTCCTCGGCAGAGAGGAAGAGCTCTGTCACCGGGGACCCACTCAAGGGCCGGTGGACGAGGTCTCCAAGCCTACTGGGTGGTGCAGACGGGGGTGGGGGGTCAGCCTGCCGTCTCTGCCCTGACCCCACCAGGGCTCCGAGCGACGATTTGTGGGAGGCAAACTCCTGCTCAGGTACCCGCCCCCCTCCCCAACACCTGAAACGCACGGGACTTTCTAGTGCAGGTGAGACCCGCTGAGGGTTGGCAACAGGGACACAAACCGCTCCCGTGCTCCCCGAGACCCAGAGCGGGGCCTGGGGACGGGAATGGTCCTCGCTGTGCAGCCGTCCCGCGGCAGAGCGGCCAGACTCGGAAGCAGCGCGGACTCCCCAACGCAGAAGTGGACGAACTGAAGGGCTGGCGAGGCGGGAGAAGCGCCCTGCGGGCTCTAGGTGACGCGACCCGCGGCGGGACAGCGAGCACCGGAGCTGGACTCGGTAGTGCATCGGGGCCCACAGGGGACCCGCGGATGCCGGTGCCCACCGCCCCGCTCAGAAGCTGCAGGAGGGCGAGCGGGGATCCTAGCTTGAGCCTCCTGAGTCCGCCACCCCTGTCGTTGTCCCTGCCCCGCCATCGCGGCGCGGCACGCCGGGCTGTTTAGGACCTCGCGGCGCAGGGGCGGGGCGGTGGCGGCCAGGACGGTGACAGGTGCGCTCCTTGGCCAATGGCACGGCCGGCGCCCCTCCCCAGGCCCCCGCCGCGTGCGCCAATCGGCGGCCGCGCTGCGCTTCAAGTGCGCGGAGGGGCGCGGGTCCCCGCCACGGCGCCAGCGGCTCGGCGCGGTCGCCGGAGGGCTGAGCGCAGAGCCGGGCTCCCGGCCCCGGCGCGCCGGAGCACTCGCGTGGGAGTCTGTGCGAGCGCGCGGAGCGCACCCGGGGCGGCGTCCGCACGGAGGAGGCTCCCGGACCATGGTCGCCCTCGGCTGAGTTTCCGGCGGCGACTTTGATTATTGGCAAATCACCACCACGACAACACCGAGCCCCGGGGCTTGCCACCGCCACGCTCGGACTCCGCGAGCCCGCACGCGGCCGCGCCACCCACCACCCGGCCCCGGTCGCCGGCGCCAAACGAGCCGATGGAAAAATCCAAGAATTTCCGCATCGACGCGCTGCTGGCTGTGGACCCCCCGCGGGCGGCCTCGGCGCAGACCGCGCCACTGGCCCTGGTCTCGTCGCTCGCCGCCGCCTCATCTGGCCCGGGCGGCGCGGCGAGCAGCGGGGCGAGCGGCAGCTGCAGCCCCGCGTCCTCGGAGCAGCCTGCGGTGCCCGACCGCCTGCGCGCGGAGAGCCCGTCGCCGCCTCGCCTGCTGGCCGCGCATTGCGCGCTGCTGCCCAAGCCGGGCTTCCTGGGCGCGGGGGGCGCGGGCGGCGGCGCCGGTGGCGCAGGCGGCGGGCCCGGGGGGCCCCACCACCACGCGCACCCCGGCGCCGCCGCCGCCGCCGCCGCTGCCGCCGCCGCCGCCGCAGGGGGCCTGGCGCTGGGGCTGCACCCCGGGGGCTCGCAGGGCGGCACGGGGCTCCCGGCGCAGGCGGCGCTCTACGGCCACCCGGTCTACGGCTACTCGGCGGCGGCCGCGGCGGCCGCGCTGGCGGGCCAGCACCCGGCGCTCTCGTACTCGTACCCGCAGGTGCAGGGCGCGCACCCCGCACACCCTGCCGACCCCATCAAGCTGGGCGCCGGCACCTTCCAGCTGGACCAGTGGCTGCGTGCGTCCACCGCGGGCATGATCCTGCCCAAGATGCCCGACTTTAACTGTGAGTACCGCGCAGCCCCCGGGCCTGGGGAGGAGGAGGGGAACCGGGGAAGGAGTCCTGGCCGCGGTTCTCCCGCGCAGCCGCCGCCACCCCGCGCCTCCGAGCGGGCGCTGGAGCTGCCGCGACGCCGCCTCGGCTCCGCCCGGGGCCTGGGCGGACTCGTGCGGGCCGCGAGCTGTGGGATTGGCAGCGAATTATTAAAATGGCCACGCGCGGGCTTTGCTTCTCTTCCTTTCTTAACGGGAAGGGGCAGCTGGAGGTGTGAGACTAAAATCTAATGATTAACCGGCAGGCGAGAGAAGGAAGTGCTGGCGGGAAGGCGAGCCGAGCGGCGGCCCGAGTTAGGCGGGCCTGGGGATTAGGAGCCGACAAAACCAGGCGTCAGAGAAACGAACTTGACTTGGGGCCCGCCTCCTGGGTTCTGGGGAGACCCCGGCCCCTCCCAGGAGGAGATCCGGAGCAGCGATGGGGAAATGGGGCTTAGGAGGCCCACAGCTGCAAGGCCAGAGTCCGCGCGACCCTCTGGCCCTTTGCACGGGCTGCCTGCCTCTAGAAGGGCGCTGGGTCGGGGATGCGATGCCCAGGAGGCAGTGGCATGACTTGAACCAAGTGATTACCGCTCCTGCAGGCCAGGAAATGCGTCCTCCTTCAGGAACCCCATCTCAGGGTCTCTATAAACAGGGGCCCACCCAGAATTCCGGACGTCCAACACAGAGGGAACCCCTCCCCAAGGTGAGAGCCAGGGAGAGGCGCCATCCCGACCCGAGAGCCGCTGGAGTGTATGGCTCTGGCTTGCCACCCAGGCAGGGCACCTCCAGGAGGCCTGGGCCCCCTGGGCCTTTCCAGGGTTCCCCGCATAGCCTGCATCTCCGCACCGCTCGCCCCACCCGGGCTCGGCTCAGAGGACTCTGCCAAAGACTTCAGGCTGCCAGCCGCTGCTCTCCCAAACAAAGAGACCCCATTGTTTCCCTCTGAGTGGGTTTGTTTAGAGGGAGGAGATGCAGGCGGGGGAGAGGAAAGAGCAAAAAAGGAAATTAGAAATAAACACTCGCCAGAATTCAGATTCCTCTGCTAGAAAGCACGGCTGTGACTAAACAGAAAATCTAGGACCCTGGGAGGGGGCTAGAGAAGTCGCAGCAGGGTGAGAAAAATCCCAGCCTGTGCGCTGTCCGCCCGCGGCCACCCCAGCTTTTCCCGGCTCCCAACCCAGAAGGCCCTAATGGCCACCCTGCCCTTTCTGCTGGAGGCTCAGCCCCTGCTGACCACCCGCTAAGGGAGGGAAAGCTCAGTTCACCTCTCAGTGCAGGGGTGGTAGCTTCGGACATCTCTGAACCCACTGATCCCAGACCAGGCCTACCCAGGGCACCCTTCCAGGCCCGGCCCTGAGCCCAGCACCCCCCTTCTGATGGAAACCCACCCATGGTTTCTTCATTATGAACCGCATTTCCCGGAGCCTGAGCTGCTTAGTGTCCCTCTGGGGCAGGGCTGTGGGGGTTCCACACAGGTCTCCCCTGGGGACTGGGTTCGCCGGGCACCTGAGTGCTTTCCCGGGCCTGCGTGCAGCCCCAGGTTGCTTAGAAATGGATGAAAGCCACATCCCTTTGCCAACACCCTTCGCCAATCTCTGATTTCTAATCTTGATTTAGACATAGTCAAGTTAAAACCCAGCCACCTCTAGGTTCAGTAAGGGAATCCAAGCCCCGATCCTAAGGGGCAGTAATAAATGGGCGAGGTAGCCGGAATGTGCCTCTGAGGGTCCCCCCTCCGGTCGCCGGAAAACCTGTGTGGTTTCCTTTAATTGGCTCTCTGCCTTTGGATGGCATTTCCCAGATGGTCCCTCTGGAGTCAGTGTTTTAATTAAAGTTCTAATGTATTGTCACGTTGGGAATTGGGGGCCTTGTTTGACTAAAGCGGGGGGCGTGGGCCTTCCCATAAAGCAAATTGCCCGTCCCGGGGGGAGCCTGACTTGTCTGCCTGGGGCTGGCCTCTTTTCTTCTCTCCCCTTTCTCTTATTGTCAGGCTCCTGGGAAATCAAGGGAAGTCTCGTTTTGAGGTCATAAAATTCTCTGTGATGTAACCGTGTGAAATTATGTAAATAAAGCCAAGGGACCTGCTTGAATGCTCCGAACACCGGATCCCCCTTATTCCTGGGCCTTTAATTAGCCTAATGGGAATTGTTCTGAAAAGGCTGCGGTCTCCCCAGGCTTTACCCCTCTGTAGACTGGGGGTGGAATTGCCGAGAAAACACTTTAAGCACAGGACTGCCTGTGGTGAATGCACATGTTCAGGTCCGGGACGGCCCTTGGCCTCCCTCCCCCCTCCTCCTCCTTTAGTACTTAGGGAGGTGGTGGTGGGAACCTGCGCCCGTACCTCTCTGGGTGGGAAGAAGCGGGACCAGCGGTTCCCGGGGCCAGTTTTGCACCGGAGCCTGGGCTGGGAAGGAACCATGAGGCAGGGAGGAGCTCTGCCCCTCTGGCCTCTGCTGCTTGCCTTTCTGTCAACCTTTCAACCATTGCCTACCCGGGTGGAGAGGGCAGGCCTGGGTGACAGAATCGGAACACCTGCCCCAGATAAAAAGACAGTCCCCGTAAACCCAGATCATCTGGTTCCCCGGGCCTGAGGCCCGGGCTTCCAGGGAATCCTCCAGCCGCCTGTCCCCTTCGGTAGAGGGTGCTGAGGGCACGAGGAAGAGCAGAGGCTCTGCCCGGAGTGGGTGGCACGGCGGCCTTGTGGAGGAGCGTCCTGGGAACAGGTGGGAGCAGGTGCAGGGCGGGGCTGGGATGCAGGCCTCACGGCCCCTGTCCCTCCCCAGCCCAGGCACAGTCCAACCTGCTGGGGAAGTGCCGTCGGCCGCGCACCGCCTTCACCAGCCAGCAGCTGCTGGAGCTGGAACACCAGTTCAAGCTCAACAAGTACCTGTCGCGGCCCAAGCGCTTTGAAGTGGCCACGTCGCTGATGCTCACAGAGACCCAGGTTGGCCACCCCAGCATACGACTCGCTCAACTGCATCCTGGCCCCCAGGGGACAGCCACCTTGCTCTCTGGGCCTGCTGTCCTGGGCACCGGGAACCACAACTTTTTGACCTTTAAGGTGCAGGTTAATATGGAGGACAGGCCACATGCCCCCCACCCCCACCCCCATCCCAGGACTCCTGCATTTGTCCTCACAGGCCTGATTCAGGAGGTTGGGGCCAGGCCCAGGAGCCTGCCTCTGAGCGACCCTTCCCCCCTCCTTCTGAGGCAGGTGGTCCCTAGGCCGAGTCGGAGAAGCTGTGACCAGAAAGGGAGGGGGAATGTCTTGAGGATCTGCAGATAGGGGCCCTCTGCTCCCGGCCCTTCCGCGGCAGAGGAGGGGGCGGGCAGAAAAGGCGCGGCGGCGAGGTGGGCCGCAGGGCGGCTTCCGCGGAGACCCCGGCTCGGGCTGCCGGAGCGGCAGCGGGGGGCGCCCCCCGTCCCACCCGAGCCCACGTGGGCGCGCGGGGGAGGCAGGCGCAGGGCCTGGGGCCGGAGCCGGGGCCGTGGGGACGGAGGGCCCGGTCGCTCACTCCCTCTTGTACCCGCAGGTGAAGATCTGGTTCCAGAACCGGCGGATGAAGTGGAAACGCAGCAAAAAGGCCAAAGAGCAGGCGGCGCAGGAGGCGGAGAAGAAGAGCGGCGGGGGCGCGGGCAAGGGCGGCAGCGCCGAGGACCAGGGGGATGAGGAGCTGCTGGGGCCGCCGGCGCCTGGGGACAAGGGCGGCGCACGCCGCCTGCGGGGCCCGAGGGACAGCGACCCCGAGGAGGAGGAGGGCGACCACGGGGACCGGTTCCCCTACAGCAACGGCGCCAGCGCGCGCGCAGCCTCCTCTGGCTGCTCCTCCGGGGCCGACTCGCCGCCGCCACGGTCCGGGCACCAGCCGCCGCCCCAGTAGGGCCCGACTCCCCGCAGCCCTGCCTGCTGTGCGTCTGGGCCGCGGCCCCTCGTCTGCCGTCTAAGGGACCGAGAGAGGGAGGCCAGCGGGTTCAGACGTGAGCTCATGTTCTTTTAAATTTAATTTTGTTCAGTGCTGGGGGGAGGTGTGTGTGAGAGACCCGACCGCCGCCAGGGGAGGCCCCTGGCCCCCCCCCCATCCAGGGCTGAAATCTGCAGTGTTACGGACCCCTGAAACTTGACGCTTCTGCGCCCGCCGCTCTGCCGAACACTGAAAAAAAGGTTTCTTGCTTATGTATCTTGGGGGAAAAACTCTGTCATGAGCGTTCAAACTGCTGGAAATCTCGAAACTGTACTGTATTTTTGTATATTGTATTTATATGTATATATATATATACACATAAAGAAATGTCTACTTATGCATGCTAAATTATTATTTAGCTTCTCCCATCGCCCACGATGGAATGTAAAATAAAATTTTTTTTTACGGGTGAGAGTGCACGTCTTTTATGGGGTTAAGAAAGCGGAATGTGCAACTTTTGTTGTTGAAGCGGTGGGGGGCATATTCAGCTATTGGCAGCGGAAGGGGAATATACCAGGGCCACAATCGGGTGTGAGGCCCACCACCCCTTCTGGGCCTGGAGGTGGGCGGGGCTCGGTTCCAACTACCGGGGAGTCGCAGGTGCGAAGGTTGGTAAAAACACCCGAGGCCAGAAGTCTGCGCGTGAATCTCAGGAAGGCAACTTGAGCGCCGCCGGCTTGTTTTCCATTTCCCCGAAGATCCCCTTGCTTCGCTGGCGCTCCAGGAGCGGAAGACACTAAATGTTTAAGAAAAATCAAACGACTGGACTTCGGCTGGAGAGCCCCTTGCCTCCCGGCGCCTGCTGCGCTCACCCGATTGCCCGGGCGGCCCTGTCCCCGCGGGGCTCGTGGCGCGCGCTCTACGGCCACGAGCCCCGGGCCAGGTGCTGCGCACATGCCCGGCTGCGCGAGCCCCTCCCGGGCCTGGAGGCAATCGGGACCGGCGCGCTGCTGGCTCCTGCCCTGTGCTGCCCCGCTTCCCTCCCGCACCTGGGCAGGGAGCACCTCTCCGCCCCCTTCCCGCCGGCTTCCCTGCCCCTCCTCCCGGCTGACAAATGAGTTCAGAAGGGCCTGGCGTTTCATTTGGGTGATTACCGCGCCGGCGAGCGGGGCCACTCCTCTGCCTCTGGGCCGGGTAAGATTAATATCCTTTCTGGCAGCTTATTATCACCCCGGGCGCCTTCCATAAAATCCAACCTCACCAAGGCCGGGGGCGCGGCGCTGCTGGGAGCCGGACTGGAGCAGCTGCTGGGCGCGGGCGGCAGGGCCAGGCCGCGGGGTCCAAAGGTGCTTCTGGGACAGGGGCCCTGGGCCTGCAACTGGTGGGAAAGCCGGAGGGCCCAGAGGAAAGGGGTAGGAAAATTAGGGCGCGGGGGGTGGGGGGGAGAAAGATGCCTTTCGGGGTAGAGAAAGTCTGCGATCTGCGTATTTCTTGTTTTAATTTCTGACCCATCGCTGAAGTCCAGCCCGCAGCAGTCTTCCTGGTGACTCCACATCTGGGGTTCATTCCCCGCCGGCCCAGCGTCAGCGGCCCCACCTCGGCTCTGGGCGACCCGGACTGCCCGCCGGGGTCCGGGAATTGGGTGCCTTAGGCCCCAGGGGTCTTCTGTCCCTCAACCCGAAGGACAGAGTCTGCTGGCCCTGGGGGTCGGCCTCTGTGCGGCCCGGGGAAGGGACCCACCGAGAGAAGGTGTCGCTGTGCCCCTGCCCCCCACCCCGTCCGCCGGCAGAGCGAGCCCGGCTTTGGCGCGGGGACCTGGCGGCTGCGGAGGCCCGACCCGCCCGCGGCCCCACCGTCTCCAGCCAGCTGCTTAATCGCGCCGGAATTTATCTTGCTAATAAATTTAATGATCAATTCGTTCTTGTCACAGTAGCTCTTCCCCAAATCAATTATAGCAAATTTAAATATAATCACTGGCTCATCCTCACCCACTCCGGGCACGGCGAACAATCCATTCCGCCTAACGAACGACCGGCGGGCCGCTCCGCCCGCCTCGCCGGGCGCGCCCCCCACCCCGGGCCGCCCTGACCCGTGGGGCGACAGAGGCTGTGCAGCTTGAGAAGCGGGGTCCCAGGACTCAGGGCCAGGTCTACGCAGCCAGAGCCCGGAGGAGACGAAGGCACCGTCTTCAGACAAGCCCAGGCCACTCCTGGGCAACCGCGCCGGCCTCTCGTGGTGAAGCCCAGGTGCCCGACCGGGCCGCAGGCGCCCCGGCGCAGCGAGGGTGAGCCGCGCAGACCCTGGAGGCACCGGTCACTGCGACCCGGGGCTGGGTCCCCAACGAGGGCCCCCACCCGCAGCGGACCCCACCCTAGGGGAACCCCAGCCAGGCGCCTGCCTACCCAACTCGGCACGCTTTCTCTTCGCCCTCACGGGCAGCTACCCTCCCTCCCCAGGAAGGGCCACCTCACCGTGAGCAAGTGGCTCCAGCGTGTGCAAAAGCCTGTGGACAAATACTGCATGGCTCTGCTTATCTGTGGGATCGTTCTCCCTTGCTGGAAGAAAGACACCGATGTGAGCGGCCCTGCTGGTGACAGCCCACCGGCTCTTGTCCAGTCCTGGGGGGTCTCTGGCCCAGGGTCCAGGGCTGCTGGGAGGAACCCCTAGCCGGGAACGCCGGAAGCACCAGGAACTTAGAGAACAGGGGCCTGCTGCTCCTGCGGAGGGCCTTCCCCTGGCTGCCCCGGCAGAAGTTAGCCTGGCAAGATCATCTCCAAGGACTTTCTATGACACCAAAAGCACAGGTAATGAAAGCAGAAACAGGCACCTGGGGTTTAGTTTACATCAGACTTCACTTCATTCAGCAAAGGAAGCCCAACAGAACGAAAAGGCAGCCGGGCCAGGGGAGAGAATGTCTGCAAATCATGTACCTGACAAGGCGTTAATATCCAAAATATAAACACAAAACAACAAAACACGATTGAACTAAAAAATAGGCAAAGGACTTGAATAGACATTTCTCTGAAGAAGATAAACCAGTGTTGCACAGGCACGTGAAAATATCCTCAACCTCATTAATAATCATTAGGGAAATGAAATCAGGAGCACACGGAGCTGTCCCCTCACGTGCATTAGGAGGGAAACCGCGAGTGTGATGCGGCTGCGGAGGAATCGAAGCCCTTGCGCACAGTCGGTGGGGCCGTGAACGGCTGCAGCCACCAGGGAGGAGGAGCCCGCCACGAGCCCTGGTTATCACCATGTGACCCAGCAGTCCTGCTTCGGGAGCAGGACCAGAAGGACTGAAAGCGGGACCTGGAAGAGACACTTCACACTCGGGCTCATCAAAGTACTATTCACGAAACCAAGAGGTGGAAGATGAATGGATTTAAAAAATGGGACACAACACACACAATGGAATACTAGTCAGCCTTAAAAAAGAGGGAAATCCCATCCTATGCTGCAACATGCACGAGCCTCGAGGGACTTGTGCTCCGTGGAACAAGCCCGTCACAGAAGGACAAATACTGCAAGATTCTACTTAGATGTGGAATCTAAATAGTCGAAATCTGAGCAATAGAATAGAATGGTGGTCGTGGGGGCTGGGAGGAAGTGGAAAAGGGGAGTCCTTCCGTGGGGACAGTTTCGGTTTTGCGAGATGAAAACATCCTAGAGATCTGTTGCCCAGCAATATGTGCACAGTTAACAACTACTGTCCTAGACACTTAAACTGGTTAAAATACAGAACCCCTCCTCCCTCCCCCCCCACCCCCCCCAGAGGTAGGACAGACGCGCTGGAGGAAGTCCTACCGCAGAGAAGGCACAGCAGAGGAGCACGGGGCACCAGGCCCTGCCAGGACCCGGAGGGCAGAGGCCACCTGCCGCGCTGCTGGGGCCCAGTTTGTATTCCAGGTGGGCTGGCGGAGCACCTCCCGGATTTGCGGGTAACTGACCCCCGTGCCCCCCACCCACGCCCCCAGTGAGGGGCAGTTCCGAGTGCACCAAGCGGGTCTGCACCCCCTCCGGTGCTGGCTGGAGTGGACCCAGGGCGCGCGGTGGGGGCGCTCGGGGTGGGCGTGGGTGCAGGACCCACAGGGTGGGGACAGCGCCGCGTGTGGCCACGTGGGGGCTCCGCGCAGACTTGGGCCCCCCCCCGTACCAAAGTCCTGCGGCGCATTGTGTCTCCCCCAATAAAACTAATCCCTCGGGAGGCGTGACCGCCGCCAGGAATGCTGCGGGGGCGCGGGCTCCAAGGGCAAATACGGTTTTCAGATTGGGGCTCTATGGTCGGATTCAAGTTTACTTTCCGTAACCGGGCCCCTAATAAACCCATAAAGCCGGTCGGGCCTCCAGCGGGCGGCCTCGCTGGGCACTTTCACTTCGCGAATCACTTCACGCCGTGCCGGGCGTGTCCCCCCAGAACCCGGCGGGCAGCGGCCCCCGCAGCGGGCCAAGTGGGGGGGGGGTCGGGGGCGCGTGTCTGCGGAGCGGCCGGTCCTCCTCCCGCGGGCCGCGCCCCGGCCCCCCGCGCCCCCGGCCCCGCGCCGACCCTGCATTCCGCGGCCTGCGCCCCTGGCCGCCCCCGAGTGTACACAGGGTGCTGGACAATGTGCGGCTCCCGCGGGCCATTGTCGGCGGCGCCCGGGCAGGACAAAGGGCCCCCCACCCTGCGGCCGCGGCGGGCGCGGTTTGCCCAGCTGGGGGAGGAACAAAGGCCGCCGCCTTATCTCTGCCTGGGACGCAGCGCGGGCCGCGGGGTCAGGCCAGGGGCGCGACGGCGGGGGCGGCCGGCCAGGTGGGGGGCGCTGCCCTGCGCCTGGGATGCGGCACCTGTCGGCGCCCCTGCAGCCCCGGCCTCCCCGCGCAGGGCCTCCCCGAGCGCAGGACCGCCGGGTGAGGCTCCCGGGGTGCCAGGCAGAGAGACACCCAGGGGTGGGAGCAAAGAACCTGCCCGAGGCAGCGGGCAGAGTCGCCCGTTTTGATCGGAACGCCTGGGGGGTTTGTATTTGCTGGTGTCAGTCTCCACCCGCCCGGTGAACATCCTTTATTCCGAACATAAAATCTCCTCTGCGCTGAAACAACATCTTGAGAAGGAAAAGCAGAAAGGAGCCAGCGCGGCCGCGGGCAGGGTCTGGGGGCACCGGCCTGCTAACCGGACGCCCTCCGTGCCCTGCTGGGGACTCGGCGGCTCCCGCCCGGCCAGGGGCTTAGCTGCCTCCTGCGAACTGCGTCCTGCTGGTGCCTGTTCCTGCTGAGCAGAGGCCACACCTGGCGCTGGTGGCTCTGGGGCTTCACAGCAGAGGCCAACACGGTGACAGGACACCTGCAGTTATTTAAGAGATAGATCCATAAAGGAAGTATAAATTGTGTTTTTTCCTGAGACTGCAACATACTGATGGACTTATCCTGGTGATGAATTTATTCTATCAGATTCCCCATCTGCCTTCAGATTAGACACTCGTGTGACACGGCAGCCGTTTCCCCTACAAAACAGATGATAGCCAACTCAGAAGGCCCATCCGTCTCCTGCTCATTCCAACAGCCTTTTTTAGAATAACTGCTGTATTCCAATTGTTCCAAACACCAGGATACACTGATGAATAAAACAGACAAAAATCTCCCTCGTGGAGCTACATCCCAGTGGGAAGAGAGAAACAGTGAATGACAAACAATAAGTGTGTGGGTTCTACAGTGTAAAAGGCACACGCACACAAGTCGTGTGCAAAGTCATAGCTGGCGTGCAATGGGGCTAAGGGAAGGAAGGAGGCCGCGGACGCTGGTCAGCACGGCCCCAGGGGCTGCAGCTGCCGCTCTGACATGGGGCTGATGTTTTGGGCGATGGGACTATGAGAAGCTGGTGGTGGCACAGGCTGCCCACCTTTAAGTGGGCTGGATGGGAGGAATCAGAGACCTTTAGGACTGTGGAGGATATTTATCCCGAGTCCAAACAATCAAATATTCATTTCTTGATTCAAATTGTTCCTAACCCTTAGAGTGGAATAAATATTCCAGAAGACAGAATAGAGAGGCATGTACATGTGGTGGAAATAGGAATTTTGAGAGAGAAATAGATTACATGCATGATTCCTTATTTTTAAAATTCAGGTATAATTGACATATAACACTATTCATTTTATGTGTATAATTTGTTAATTCAAGTAATTCAAACATTTATATCACTCTAGAAAAATAAAAGAGAAAAACAATTTTGGAGACTCGGGAAGATCTCTGAAAGAGGGAGCCCCAGAGCTGCACCCTGAGCAGGACGCCGGTCCCATCCACCTGGCTGCGCCCCAGCACCTGTGCAGCACCCCCTCCCCTCACAGTGGTCTTGCATCCGTGCATCTGCCCAGGAAGGGCCCAGGCTGTCCTTCCTGCTGGACTCATGCCACCTTGTATCCCTGGTCCTGGCCCCCAAGGAAGTTACTGTGCCCAGAGCAGAGGGTGTGGAGGATGGTGGGGACCCAGCCTGGCTGCCTGGGCCCCTGTCCTTCCTCACCTGCCAGGTGGCCACATGTCCCTGTCTGTAAATTGAAGACTCAGTTCCCACCTCCAGGGGTGCTCGATGCTTGGCCAGTGAACATGTGTAATATGCCAGGTACCACATACGGGCTCGCCAATGTTTAAACAGACAGATGAATGAACAAGCCAACTTCGTGCCTCTAAATACTGCCGTGGTCTCCAGGCCTGCATGGCACACAGAACATGCCCACAGACTCCAAGGTGGGGGGCCGTAGCTCAGGCTGGTCCAGGAACAAGATGTGCTGGGGTACAGATAAGAGAAGCAGGAGGGAGGAAGCCTGTGTAAACATTTTCAGGGATTCGAGGAAGGGGAGCCAGGAGGCAGAGGTGGGTGAAATCCTGCTCCTGGACTGGCTGCTGCTTCAGTGAAAGCCCCTATCAGCTGCTGGACCAGTTA